CAACCAGCAGATGGGAAGGGTCCACCAGCAGATGGGAAGGGTCCACCAGCAGATGGGAAGGGTCCACAACCAGCAGATGGTAACGGTCCACCAGCAGATGGGAAGGGTCCACAACCAGCAGATGGTAAGGGTCCACCAGCAGATGGGAAGGTACCACAACCAGCAGATGGTAAGGGTCCACAACCAGCAGATGGTAACGGTCCACCAGCAGATGGGAAGGGTCCACAACCAGCAGATGGTAAGGGTCCACCAGCAGATGGGAAGGTACCACAACCAGCAGATGGTAAGGGTCCACAACCAGCAGATGGTAACGGTCCACCAGCAGATGGGAAGGGTCCACAACCAGCAGATGGTAAGGGTCCACCAGCAGATGGGAAGGTACCACAACCAGCAGATGGTAAGGGTCCACAACCAGCAGTTGGTAAGGGTCCACCAGCAGATGGTAAAGGTCCACCAGCAGATGGTAAAGGCCCACCAGCAGATGGTAAAGGTCCAGACAATAATAATAATGGTGGAAATCCAGATAATGAAAATGCAAAAAATAATGATAAACCAATTAAGCCAGGTCCGACTTGTGCTTCTCCTAATGATTCTGGGTGTAAGGCTCCACCAGGAGTGTAAGTGTAAAAAAAATCTTGTTACTGTTTTTATTAATTCGGAAAGTACTTACTCCATTAATAAATTTTTAGTACACCAAAAGTTGAAACTTCTACACAAGATGAAATAGAAACGATAACACCAACTCCTACTCCAAAAAAAAATAATAACAAAAATGACAATAATGACGACAATAAAAATAAAATAACTCATTGGACAACCACCACAACAACACTTACATTATATTTTGCTGGTTTTACATCAACAGTTACAACAACGAACGCCCAAGGAGATATCACATCTTTTGCTACGTATATTCCTCCATCCACTGTGCTTGTGGTAAAGAAAGTTGCCGTCACTGCACCCGCACTTGAAGATGGAACAGACACATCAAATTCTATGCCAGTATTACATGATTTTAATAGCCACGGTTTGTGGGGTATTACAATGAGTTTGCTTGTAGTCGTTGCGACACTAGTTTTTATGATTTTTGCGTAATTTAATTATATTTATTAAGTACATGTATTTGTTAATATTAATATTAATTAAGTTATTATTTCGTAGAAAAGCTAATTTAAATAATTAGGCATATGACGAACATTTATGCATTATGCATTATGATTTAAAAATTTAACTGTACACTACTATTATAGATTATAGACAAATAAAAAAAATTCAAAATATTAGCATGAAGCCCCATTAAGAAAACAGTCTCTTACAATCATGTTAATAAAATGTTTATATCATTAATACTGTATATATGGTTAAGATAACATTAACTGATCTTCTATCAAAATTATCGATGTGATTGAAAATAATTTAAACGGTTTATTTTTTTTTTTTAAAAAAAAAATCAACCATGACCGCATCGAAATTAAAATTGTTATACTAACGATTGGATATATCAATACTAATTTTGCGGTTAAAACAGTTCGTGTGTACGCATAATATATCGGAATTCTAGTTTACTTTATTTATATCTCAGTTGATTTCAACTGTATACTTGTATTAATTATATATACTCTTAATATTTGATATAATATTTGTCGCATTCAATAATTCATTTAAGTTAAATTTGACAATTTATCAAAAAAATGGGGAGGAGTATTATCACCTGATCAAGCTGACGGCAGCTGCGGCGATAATAATTGAACTTGTACAAAAAATAAATAATTAGCTTAATATATAGTATACACAGTACATACATTACTAAATATTCAGTTATTGACTGACTTGTTATAATTATGATATTATGAAATAATTATTCATTTAACTGTCATAATATTAACTTGAACGTCTGATACTGTATCATCTCGACATGTTGATTTATCTCACGCTTTTCCTTCCATCATTTCCTCACTTTCCCTTCTTCCCTTTTTCACTTTTCCATATGTGGGTAATCCCATATACTGTATCATCTAGCTCTCATGATCTCGTCGTATATGTACGATTCTTTTTTTATAGTCATTTCTCTAATCCTTTCCATCGTTGAATTCGTACGTTAAATTTGATCAGATGTCATAAATAAAAGAGCTTTATTGTAAACAAATTTTTATATATCAATAATAATAATTATTGTTGAGAATTAGAGGCACACAGATCTAAATTAGTACATAGATACAAATGTGAGGAAAATTTTAATATTAAGTTTACTCATTTAATATTTTCAGACTACAGTAATAAGGTTTAAAATATTTAAAAATTATTTCATGTATATATTTCCAAAAGAAATAAAAGAAATACATTAATATTTCAATTCTTAAATATTTCAAATATCGGCTTAAAGTCAGTCAAAACTTTTGAAATTATATTTCTCATTTTTTTATACAGAAAATGAATTTGGTTTTCTTATTGTGGATAATTTAAAAAAGAATTACTTTTTAATATATTGAAGAATTGAAAGTTATGAATTTAATTCATTAGTAGGGATATTAAACAAAAAATAAACTTATTTTAAATGGAAGACAAAAAAAAAATAAATAAAATAAAATAAAATAAACTAACAATAGCTTTAAAACTTACATTTATAATTATTCATTCTTAAAAAGAAAATGATTGATCTTATGCTTGATATTTGGTAATAGTCATAAAAATGAGATTCTCAAAATTTTCTCTTAGTAAATATTTTAATCACATTTTTTACTTGTGTCGAATAATATTGAATCACGTGAAATAATCAGGAAATACCGTAACTATTAATTTTGTGTTAATTCTTGCTTAAAAACCTATGATATATTTCTTATTTAATTATTAATGTAGAAAGAATTATACTCAATAATGACGTAACTGAGCGAATAAAAGATTTGGTCGTGGAAATTTGACTATTATTAATTAATAAGCCAATATTAAAACATATGATTTTAATAATGGTAAACTTGGTAGTCTTGTAATTCTAAATGACCCCAAAAAAATTTCAAAAATTAGACAAAAGCGCAACTAAAAGCTAAAAAAAAAAAAATTAAATGGAATTTTGGATCATTTTTTTCTGCGGCTTCATCTGTGCTTCCGACCTATAAAATCACATTTACTCATATCGATCGATCTTCACTAAAAAAAATCATTGTACAATCGTACTAGTATTCCCAAATAAATAATATTCATCGTATCACTGCTATTTTTTTTTTATACCTTCTGTAACTTTACATCCAGTTTTTTTTAACAAATTATTCATTAGAATAGAATGGATGAAATTAAACTAAGTGATGACGTAATTGAGCAAATAAAAGATTTCAGAGATTATCGTTTGACTGAACAAGGATGGTTAATTGATAAACTAATTTTGGACAAAAATTTAAAAGAACGTTATAAAAAATATGGTTTATGAAAAATGTAAGCAAATACAAACGTATTTTTTTTATTTTTTATTATGTAATTCACAACATTTTAAACAAAATTTCAAAAATTGGACTAGTAGAAAACATGAAGTTGATGAATTTATTCAAAAAATACAATTAAAGGCTACACTAACAATCAAATCTTAGAATGGATTGAATATGATAAATTTGAAAATATTGAATATTTAGCAAAAGGAGGATTTGGAACTACTTTTAAAGCAGTTTGGAAAGAAGGACGTATTTTGGGATGGGATTATAATAATAATCAATGGAATAGAATTGGTAAAACGCAAGTTGCTTTAAAATGTTTGCATAACTCACAAGGCATTACATCAGAATTTTTGCAAGAAGTATGATAATTTCCTATAAAATTTAGTATTTTTAGCGTTTATAAATGCTAAACTAACTATAATTTTCCTTTAGGTTGAATCAAATATTTTAGCATGTGAATCTGGACTTGGTTTTGTAGTTAGTTGTTTTGGTATTACCAAAGATCCGAATACAAATAATTTTATGATGGTGATGGAATTAAAAAAAGGTAGCTTAAGACAAAAATTAAATGATGATTTTAATTCATTATATTGGAAGAATAGGTTGAATATGTTACGATGTATTGCAGCTGGTCTTAGTGATATTCATAGTAGTGGATTAATTCACCGTGATTTTCATTGTGGGAATATATTAAGCAATTTTTATCAAGATGCTTATATTACTGATTTGGGATTATGTCAACCAGCAAATGTTAAGTCTACCCTAAGTAATAATAAAAAAATATATGGAGTATTACCTTATATAGCTCCCGAAGTTTTAAGAGGAAAAGAGTATACTCAATCAAGTGATATTTATTCATTTGGAATTGTTGCATATGAAGTTTGTACAGGATTTCCACCATATTATAATATATCCCATGATGAATTATTAGCAATAAAAATTTGTCAAGGATTAAGGCCAAAATTCAATTATAAAATTCCTCAACTAGTTTATGATATAATTAATCAATGTTGGGATGCAGACCTTTCAAAACGACCTAAGGCGATTGAATTAGAAAAATTATTTACTTATTTATGGAATGATATTATTAGTAAGAATGAAAATAATTCTGTAATTTATGAGCAAATCAAAGAAGCAGAAGAAATAAATAAGAAGTCACCTTCAACAGTTCAATCACCATTATCATCTACTGGTACTCTCGCATATACGACACATCCTCAAGCAGTTTACATAAGCAGACTTTTAATTTATAAAAATCCTCCAAAACCAAAAAATGCAGACAATAATGATGATTCGTCCGGAATACAATATTCAGGTAAACATATAATTTGCTATCATAATTTAGAATTATTCTATAATGTTAACAATCAATACCTCTAGAATCTTTAAGAATGGATTTTACTAAACTTGATATTAATTCTAAAGGTAATAATTACTTTTGCATGTAATATTTTTTTAAACTATTAAAATTTTAACTAAACTCATTTTTATTATTATTATAGACAATAGTAATTAAATTCAGATTACTTAAATTAAAGTATAATGAATATCATATTTATTTATCATGTAATTATTTTTTTATTGTAATTTGTAATTGGTAAGAGATTGAAGGAATTATTTATGATTTAAATTATTTAACAAATTTTAATATAAATTTCCAATTTACTGGAGTCCTGCACAAATGTCCATTTTTGAAATTCAGTCCAGTCCAACTAGAATTTCTTTTCATTAAAAAAATCTTCCATTTATTTGTTAAAAAAATCATTATATTTACTGTAGTGATAAAGATATAATTCTACTAATATTGATTCTAGTTCTTCACCTCTGGAGTTGAAGGGTTGGTTTAACATTTCCTACATAGAAGTCTGCGTTTAACCACATGCAATGGTTACTTCCGCAAGGTTTTTTTATTTGATAAGGAAGATCTAAAAAATTGTTAAATGAACGTAGAAAAAAACACTATTATATCATTATCAAGGAAAATATAATAACTAATAAAACAAGGAAAATCCAATCTAAAAATCATAAATGACATTGCGTTACTTATGTTACTTATCATGTGACTTATATTTCTTTTTTAGCCACTGCTTAGAGAAATTATTAAATTAATACGTATGAAGTTTTATAAAGTTATTTAATAGAATAAAATCTGTTATCTGTTTATTCATATAGAATTCTTATTTTTCAATATAAATTTTTGAAAAAATAAAAAAAAAAATCACTAACAGAACGTTAATACTGTTGATGTCACGTTTAAAAAATGCCAAAAAAAGTAAAAAATTATTACAAATATAAAGTTAAATTAATGCATATGATGACATTATATAAATATCTGAAATTTAACGAATTTTTATAAATTTAGCGAAATGATTGAAAAAGGAAAATTGCATCATTTCAAATTACTTTAAACAATTCCAAATTTCAAAATTCTTTATTTGGTTAAATATTTAAATTTTAGAATGGACTGAATATGACAGAAGTATGACAGATTTGAAAAAAATGACTAGTTGATAATGTTTAACACCAAATAGTATTAATAACTTAATCTGACTACATACTCATATAAACCATATTGATTGTCTATAATAATAACATTTTAATTCTTTCATTTATTATTAACAATTTTGCTTTTTTGAGTTAAATTTTGATGGTCGAAATCATATTTGAATAAATTGTTTATAAACTTTTAATTACATAATACTTACTATATTTAGTTGCCGATCAGGATTATTATGTTTCCTCTGTGTATTTTAACTAGTCTTTTTTTTTTTCATAATTTTGTTGATCTTGAAATCATTGCAACATAAAATGACGTTTCACCACTTTTTTTTTTCATTTTTTCTTTTCCTTCATTATTATTTAGTAATTTTTACATACGAATTAATAATTTATTTTTTAAAAAATTATTTATTAAAATGGATGAAATTAAACTAAGTGATGATGTAATTGAACAAATAAAAGATTTTGATCGTTATCGCCTGACTGAAGAACAAGAATCGTTAATTGATAAACTAATAACAGACAAAAAATTAAAAAACCATTATAAAAAATATGGTTTATGTAGAATTTGTAAATCTAGTTTGTATTATTGTCAGTCATGTAATTCATCATATTTTAAACAAAATTTCAAAAATTGGACAAGTGGAAATCATAACGTTGATGAATTTATTCAAAAAGCACAATTAAATGCTAAAAATGCAATCCAAATCTTAGAATGGATTGAATATGATAAATTTGAAGATGTTGAATATTTAGCAAAAGGGGGGTTTGGAACTGTTTTTAAAGCAGTTTGGAAAGATGGTCCTTGGGAAACGAGTTATAGTTATCAAGTGAAAAGAAAAGGCGAAACAAAAGTTGCTTTAAAGTGTTCGCACAACTTACAAAGCATTACAACAGAATTCTTAAAAGAAGTAAGATATTTTTATATATATTTATGTTATTAGCCTTTATAAATTTTAAACCAACTATAATTTCTTTTAAGGTCGAATCAAATATTTTAGCATGTAAATTTTCAAGTGGACATATAGTTCGTTATTTTGGTATTACCAAAGATCCAAAAACAAATAATTTTATAATGGTGATGGAGCTAAAAAATGGCAGTTTAAGACAACATTTAAATAACGACTTCATTTCACTGAATTGGTACCAAAAGTTGATGATTTTACTAGGTATTGCATATGGTCTTAATGATATTCATAATAAAGGACTAATTCATAATGATTTTCATTGTGGGAATATATTAAGCAATTTTGATCGATGTGCTTTTATTACTGATTTGGGATTATGTCAACCAGCAGACGTCAAATCCTCTCAATATAGTAATAAAAAAATTTGTGGAGTATTACCTTATGTAGCTCCTGAGGTTTTAAGAGGGAAAAAATATACTCAAGCAAGTGATATTTATGGATTCGGAATTATTATATATGAAATCTGTACAGGATTGCCTCCTTATCATGATATAGCTCATGATGAATTCTTAGCTATAAAAATTTGTAATGGGTTGAGGCCAAAGTCTAATTATAAAATTCCTCAACTAATTTTTAACATTATTAATCAATGTTGGGATGCAGACCCATTAAAACGACCTAAAGCAGATGAATTAAGAAATTTATTTGCTAGATTGTGGTCTTATTGCGATAAATCTGATTCTTTAATCAGTGAGCAAGCTAAAGAAGCAAATAAAATTAACAAAAAGTCATCATCAAAAGTTCAATTACCATTATCATCTACTGGTGCTCTTCAATATATGACACATCCTCAAGCAGTTTATACAAGTAGAATTCTAGATTTTAAAAATCTTCCGGAACCAAAAAATGCTGATAATAATGATGATTTACTTGAAATGGAATATTCAGGTAAATATATATAACATGTTTTAATAATTCGAATTATATTACAATGTTAACAACTAATATTTATAGATTCCCTAAGGGTGGATTTTACCAAATATGATATTAATTCTAAAGGTAACTAATCTTATATGTGATTTTTTGATTTATTAAAAATTAAACTATTTTTTTTTTTTTTTTGAATGTTATAGATGAAAGTAATTAAGCTCAGATTACTTAACATTAAAATATAAAAAGATATCATATTTTTTGTGTTTATTACTGTATTTAATTATTTATATTTGTATTTTGTAATTGGAGATTGAAGGCATTATTTATGATTTAATTTAGTAAATATACATAAATTTCTTGATTTGACGGTCTTTTAGATTGGAGTCCTGCACAAAAGTTCATATTTTAAAACCCAGCCCAAGTCTGATCCAGATCTCCTTATTAACCATGATATAATTATGGTAACCCTTAAGAAATTGTTAAAAAAAGATCTAGTATTAAAGAAATTTTGTTAAAACCTTTATATTTATTAATGTATTTATTAATTAAAAAATTTGTATTTATTTATTAAAAAAATTTTTGTACTGTATTTATTTGTTAAAAAAATTATTCATATTGTTACCATTTATTAAAAAAATTATCAATGGATATGTTGTAGGTGGAAACGGAATCTATGTGGATTCCGAATCCCATATGTGGATACGGGATGATATAAAGAGGAACCGCGATTAGCATTTGAATTTCATGGACCTCAGCACTATCACCGTAATAGTTTATATTACTGAGAAAATGGATACTTCAATTTGAAAGAACAAAAGACGCGTGACCAGAAGAAGCGGAATATCTGCAAAGAACAATGTATATGTCTTATCTAAGTTCCATATATTGCGGACATTTTACCCTTTATCAAATATGCATTAGTCGAAAAAAATTCCTGAGTGAATAGGCAATTGGTCTCAGAAATGTCTCGGTAAATTTCACTGATGGTCCATTGGCAAAATCATGTGACCAAAGTTCGTTTACCTCAGGTAAGGAAAATTTGTTCGACTTAAAGTATACATTTATTAATGTCAGCTTAGATAACATGGAGGTAAAAAATTTTAGCTGGTTGAAAGGTTTGTATATCACATAAACGAAATTAAAGATGCGAAAAAATATAACGGCCACTCCAGTACTCCTTCATTGATTGTTTAATGGAAAGAAAGAAGGAACGCGCAATATCAACACCAAACTCTTCATAATACTTCTCACCTATCAGACTTCTTTTGTTTCCAGTTCCATTTATATATGCACAGGTAGCCTAATAAAATCAAATAATAAGTATGATATGTACGCTTCAAGAAATTGTTCCATCAATAATTTTACTTAGTTTGGGGAATTTTTTATCGCAGTCTTCATCTTGAACAGAACCTTACATTAAACTTCTTAGCAATATCCGTCCAAAACATCTATTTCTGTTTTGGCAGAAGGCCATGATACTCAGTATTTTGTAGTTTGCGTTCGTTAATAAGAAGATGGACTTGATCTTCAATCCAGTCAACAGACGACATATTTTATTACATGGTGAGAAATGTTCGTTGAGAGGCTTTTTTATAAAAGAAATATCGAGTGAGGTGTTAGATATCTGCTTTAGCATAACGGCCTAGTTTGCGTAAAGATAAATTATGTGATATGAAAATGGCATGGAATGTGAGCTTCTAGTGAGTAAAACGGATAAAAACATTCTCGTTCCATTACCTCTTTGCAGCGGTGTGTGTGGCCTACGGTAAACGGATCTACAGGGGCTAATTTTTTTTTGCAATTTGACAAGTTGAAAGGGTCAAACTGATGATTGTTTCCCGACTGGTCTTTCGTGCGTGCAGATAAATTATACTAATTTAATAAAAAAATTTTTATTATTGAATCTAATACAAATTTATATAAAAATTAAGTGAATTAATTGTTCTATTTGACCCGCGCAAAACGTAGCCTCTTATGTTGACATCGGAAGTTTAGGAATAGAATGTTAGTTATTACATTTATCTAGTTCCACGATTTAACCTTAAAACTCGGTATTTTTTTATAATATTTCTCAATTTGAGTTCGGTGTTCAAGCTCATCAACGTCCTCAGCCTCGAAATAAACAAGAGATTTAGAAAGGGGCAATTTGAAAAATTAAATATAAATATGCAGTTTTCATTAAAAAAATGATAAACTTCCTAAAGATGTTGCAACGTGGACGTCGAAATATATCTGATATCTAAAGTGGATTGTTTTGATAAAGATGATATCAAAGCAATCAAAGATGAAGGGGTTAATGGAAAAAGTCTCCTTCAGTTAGAAAAAGGGATTCTTACAAGGTAAGAATTAATTTTTGATAATTCCTTATCATAGAAGAATGAGGGTTAGTATGGCGACTTTATTTGTTTGAAGAAAAGGAACAAATGGAATCTTTATCCCTTGATAAGACGAAAAAGACTCCAGGTATTTTTCATTTTTAAGTGCACAATCAGGAGCAAACCAGTAACTTTTCGTTTTTGGAAAATAGAAATTGATGCATCTCGAAATGTTAATGCATCCGCAAACAAGGTGACCTATTGGTATATTGTAGAAATTCCAATACTCAAGGCATAGTTTGTTCCGTATGTAAAGTTGTAAATGTTGATAAAGGAAGTCGAATTACTACTTCACTTCTAGATGATTCTCAAATCGTTATTATCTAAACATTAACTGAACTTAAAGGGAGGCTGTCGAAAAGTTCAATGATATGCGTAACTTAGATGATGCTAACGCGGTAAACCCTTTATCCATACTTTTTTATTGGGACTTCGCTCTTTGGGTTGAGAAAAAAGTTATGGAGAAAGAAATACAAAGAATAATAGTGTTACAGAATTTGTTGTTACTTATTTATTTATTTATTTATTTATTTTATTACTAAAAGGGTAGTAGAACCCAGACTATTACAAATAATTTGTTGTTACCTTTATTTCATAAATAATAAGATAAATTATGATTCAAATCACGTGCAATGTCGAATCTCCTGTTCCGAAGCTGTGATCGCCGTAAGCCGTCGGAAACTCGGATAGACCTATCTCACCGCATTTGTGTCACGAAATAAATGACTTTCAAGTCACACGGCAGATCTGTGTGACAGTCGAATTTCTCACATATAGTACCATTCGGTATTTTTTTTCCGCAAATAAAATTTTTTCCTCACATATGTTAGTTTGCACCAATGAAATTTCGCAAAAAATACTATATAAGTCGAAAATGTCCATCACGTTACTCTGTTTCGTCAAAGGAAACACACTGCGATTGCTTTCCCTGTCCGCGTAGATAAAACTAGTCTACTTGGTGAGTTAAAAAAAGCTATCAAAGAAGAAAACTCGCAAACTTTCGCTAATGTTGACGCCAAAGACATTAAGTTATGGAAGGTGGAAATTCCCGACAATCACGACAATCAGTTGAGCAATCTCACATTACAAGACCAACCCGAACTACTTGCAACAGGAGAAATATAGGACTACTGGTCTAAGAAACCGTCTAAGAGTATTCATGCAATAGTCGAACCACCCGTGTCGACTTCTGCTTCGAACGAGGTATTGGAATTAAGGGAGAAACTCGCTTCGTTGCAGGAATTACTCAACAAGTCTGTCCATGGTATATATAATGTTTTGCCAAGAAATTTGACCGACGAGCCGTCGGTGAAATCTTCAGGTTATGAAACTGTTTCACATCAAATTACTCATTTTCTTAACGTGGTTGTTGCATTACAAAGTTAGACGTTATCGTGAGTCCGAAACGGAAGGCAAATAAGTGGACTGCAAATATCGAACATGCGACTCTCGAAGGCCTCAAAGATTATATACGTGAATTGTACAGACCACCAGCGCTTGAAAATGATGGGGCAGTACTAAATTTTATGTGTGATGGGGATAGATATTTATTTACCTAGGAACGATGTCGCATTTCGGGAGATGTTGCAGTCGCTAGTGTCAAAAAATAATCTTAAGTTTACTGTGTTTATTGAGAAGCCATCAAAACCATTCAACGAGTGGACCTTTCCGAAAGTGTGTGAACTCTATGGACTTAGTGATAATCCGAATCATAGCATTGACGTGTATCCTATTTTTCGTGTGGGTGTGTGGACACGAAGGGTGATAAGTATAAAGTGGCTTTGCGAAAACTTTTTTGATGAATTGGAGACACGTATTGCAACAACCCCATCGATTTATCCTATGAGGCCACAAAAAGTATCTATTCCTATACTTATTTTACCTCAGCAACTTACCCATTTAAGGATCAAATAAAGATCGTACCGGAGAAGCCGATCGAGAGGAAAAATGGACGAGGGAATCTTGACTATGGCATTGAATCACGTACTACAGGTAGAACAATCGGCTTGATCGAGGTCAAAAAAGATGACTTTAAGCAGGGCTTCGCACAGGTTACTGAGATGGATTCTTCACTATCTCGCAAACGCAAAGCGAATGAAATAGATGATGAGTATGATATGGATAAAAGTATGGGGGATTGTAAAAGATGCGGAAAAATTATACTTCATGGAATGTACACGAGACGGTGAGGGGAAACCATCTTTTAAGTTATCGAAGCCCTTATTTGTGTATGAAGATGTGGATATGAAGATAAGGTGGAGAAGGTCCTTGCTCATATTATAAGGTTATTGGAAGAGGCACAGAAGCCAATAGAAGCTTCTCAAAGTGGGGAGGGATCGAGGAAATAAAAGGGCAAAGTCAGATCAAAATCGCGGGGAAGTAAGTTAGTGTAGATAAACATAGTATAGCGGGCCAGACGTTAAAATTATGTATTACGGGCAATAACCCGAACCTTGTATTTATTTTCGCATGTATCACGGGCGTAATGTCCCGATTTGTGTTTATTTTTTATCCTGCGATCTGTAATAAAACAGCGATCATACACTCGAAAACACGCACACGTTTAAAAAATCAAAGTAAAGCAAAAAAATATATTTTATTTTCATAAAAATATAGAAAAGGAATCGGTTTTGCAAAACGAAAAAATGAAATGGATAGCGGGATTTTCAAGAGAGGAATAAAGCATAAAATAAGCCTGCCCGCCCCTAGAGTTTGCAATGCAAAAATGGCAGTTCCTTCCCGCTATCCTATACTAACTATTGCTAACTTTGTCATTGATAATACTACTGCTATCACTACTACTAACTACCCTTCTTCCCTCCTTTCTATCTGAAATAATTTTATCCATCAAAGTCTTTCTTGGAGTCTTTATGTGCCAGGACTAAGACTTGTACATTTGCGCGGGAGAGCGAATCTCTTTTTTTCTTCCCTGGTCAAAAATGGCAGTGAATTTGACGCAATACATTTCGATCTTACCCAATAAGACCCGGCCCAAAAGTGTTACACTTACAGTAACGGATACGGAATTATGATCAAGGTATCGAAGTTGAAGAAATTCATGAGCGTTGGAATATGATCGAAAAAAATGCCTTGGGTTAATAACTTCATTCGGCTTTCGATTATTTTTGGACCGAATTATTATCCTTTTTTTCGGTACTTATTTTTTTTCGGATTCTTTTTTTTTTGAAAATTTCCCTTTTTTAAACTGATTTCTTTCTTTATCCATTTTTTTTCCCTCAATTTTTTTTTGAATTTTTTCCTTTTCGGTTTCTTATTCGAATTTTTTTTTCATTTTATTTTTCGAATTTTTTTTATTGTTTTTTTTTTGTTTTTTTTTCCGGTTGGCTTTTTCTCCAATCTGAAAATTTTTTCCCCTTTTCCTTTTTCGATTTGGCTTTTCAAACCTAATTTTTTTTTCCCGAATACATTATCTGTTTTTTTTATGAAAATCAACACTGTACTAGTTAGTTTCAACGTATTTATATTTTGGCATATAAAATTATATGATAATTGTATTAAATCACATATTGTTCTCATAAATTAACTATTTTTTCACTTTAATATATATTTTGGTATATAAAAATCATATTATGACTATGTTGTATTCACATATTGTTTATATTCTACTTTCAATATGAATTTCAGCATATAAAAAACATATTTCGGATATATTTTATTCATATGTTGGTTATATTTTTTACTTTTAATATGTATTGAATTTATTTTATTCATATTTACTTTAATATGTATTTTTGGCATATAAAAACCATATTTCGAATATATTTTATTCACAAATTATTTATATTTATTTAGCATTTATTTTGGCATATATTAAATATATCACAACTTTTAATATATATTTTGGCAATATAAAAATAATCTCGGTTCTATTATAGGATTTTATATAGTTATTGGGTAAGAAGTATTCAATATGAAGATTTATGACCGTCGATGTTAAATGATTGGCCGTTATTGTGCCACGTAGTGGCACAATGGCCAATCATATAATGTTGATGGTCAAAATGGTAATATTGAATACTTCTTACCTAATAATGATTTTATTGTGGCAGACCACCAAGATCATGTTTTAAAAGTTTATTTAAACTTTCTTTTAAATTTCAATTTTTACGCGTCTTTTTCTTTACGCGTTTAAAAGTTTATTTAAACTTTCTTTTAAATCCACTCATTTGTACACATTTTTTCTTTACGCGTTTTTTCTTTTACACATTCTTTTTTATATACACTTTTTAAATACCCTACTTTTTCTTTACACATTTTTTTCTTTCAACCTATTCTATTATTTATTTTAATAATGAAGGAAAAAACTAACAAAAATAAAATAAATAATGATAAAGTATGTTGTTATTATTACCAAAATATTGTTATATTAATTTGCTAATACAATATTTTCTATTCAAGTTTTATTTACCTACAGAAGACGAAATAAATTTTTTCAAAAAGAAGTCAAGAGTAGTAAATACAGATAAATCCACAGCAAATTGGGTTCACCAATTTGAAAACTTTCGTGAAAAAGCTGGATTTACTGGTAAAAGCATAGATATTACTGATAGAAAGGAATTAGAAAGTCAAATCTGTAGTTTCGTAACAGTTATGAAGACTAATTCTGGTGAAGAATACAAGGCTAGATCTATCCTCAGTGCTATACATGCATTAAACCGACATTTAAATGATTTATCATCACTATCTCCAATGGATTTTACTTCAAGAAAACAATTTCCAATATTATATGATGTATTAGATGGCAAAATGAAACATGTAGCAGAACAAGGAAAGGCCAATGTTCAAGGAGCTGATGGTCTTTCTGTTGAAGAATGTAAAAAAATACTGTATTCACCA